TCTCACGCATACTCCACTGTCATGAGTGGTACGACCGGTACCGTGAGTTAGGGTGTGGAACTTGTAACCATTTACGAAAAACCCAAGGTGTTGAATAGCATAACGGAGTGGTCTTGAAGCCAAAAAATTTAGACGATCGGTAATGGGGTCATACTCAGGCATAACCTATAATAACAAATAATCATGTAATTTGTAACATTCTATTGAAGACATATAAATAAGGATGAATAATTACAATATGTATATACTTACGTAGGTCTCAAACCAACCCGCAAAATCTTCACTTCTTCGTCTATCGAGCCCCGCTTCATCAATATATGGCTCGTTACATTTAACCTCTTCATCGAAGAAAATAGGTGAAATCGATGATAAATAATTGAAATACAGTGTTCAAAGTTCAAACCTGTGTTAGATTGAAAAGAAGATGGAAGCAGCACTCGTTTTCGACAAGCAGTTCGATTGTTCGTCAAGCAGTTCGATCGTAATTTCGTCTAGCGTACATCAATCGTTTTAATTTGGGAGGTCGATCAAAGAAGAAAATGGCAGAAAGGGAGGTCAAGCAGTTCGATCAAAGCAGTTCATCAATCGTTTTCGTCAAGCAATTCATCAATCGTTTTCGTCAATCGTAATTTCATCAACCGTTTTAATTTGGGAGGTCGATCAAAGAAGAAAATGGCAAAAATTAAGGGATGTTGGTTGTAGCAAGGGAAAGGGAGCAAGGGAGCAAGGTTTTTTTTTTTAATTTGGGCTTCATCTTAAAAAAAAATTGGGCTTTTGGCCCCATTTAAAAAAAATTTAAATTTCCGACGGAAATTTCTGTCGGAGAAAAAAATTATTAAAATAAATAAGTAAATCCGTCGGAACGTTTTTAAAAATTACGGTTTTCTTTAAAAATAACTTTTGCAAGGAAAAACCTTTTTTTTATAAAATTTCAACGGATTTTTATATTTAAAATAAAAAATTAAAGCCAATAGTATACGTTAAAATCCAATTGAACCGAATATGGCCACTAATTAACATCTATGAAAACTCAATAAAATCTGCTAAAACTCAATTGAACCGAATAAGACTCAATAACTCCATTAAAGCCTAGTTGAACCGAGTAAAGTCTAATAGATGAATTGAAAGTCCATTAAGATACATTAAAGCTTAGTAGTACCCTTTAAAGCCCAATTGAACCGAATAAAGCACAACAATACCCGCTAAAGCTTAATTGAACCGAATAGAGCCCAATAGTACCCGTTAAAGCTCAATTGAATCGAATAGAGCCCAATAGTACACGTTAAAGCCCCAATTGAACTTAATAAGGCCCAATAGATTCATTAAAGCCCAATTGAACAGAATAAGGCCCAATAGTATCCGTTAATGCCCAATTGAACCGAATAAGGCCCAATAGCTCCATTAAAGCCTAGTTGAACCAATAAAGTCCACTAAGATCCATTAAATTCCACCAAGATCCATTAAAACCCAATAATACCTATAAAAGCCCAATTGAAAACTCAATAGATCCATTAAAGACCAAATAGTACCCGTTAAAGCCCAATAATCCATTAAAGTCCACTACGATCTATTAAAGCCTAGTAGTACCCTTTAAAGCCCAATTGAACTGAATAAAGCACAA